GGTATCATATCCCGTTGAGGATGCTGATGAGTCCTAGGCGATGTCAAAGCTGATGATAATGCCTTTTGGGGAGCAAAGCTGAATGAATTTCATTGAAAACATGACGCCCATTCATGTGGGAAAATTCAACTATCAGTCCTCATGCGTCCTCGAGTAAGTACGGTTCTAATTCAATACATTCAAATCGAATTCTTGTGAAATTTTTAAATGAAAAAAGGCTGCGTCGACTACAAAAACATGATCTTTTAAGGACCTGACTTTCCCTGAATGCATTTTAATGAAAAAGTGAGGCCGAATCAGCGACTAGCTTCTAAATTAGCTCAAGCGACATCGACGCAGGCAAACTGGGGGCCTGCGTCGGGTTGAGAAGTGTGCATAGTTTATGAGTATTTCCCTGTGTGTCTTTCTTTATTTATGTGTGGTTGTGTAAAAAGGAGATATAGGAAGTGGCGACCAAACAATTGAGCTAATCGGCTCCATTTTTGCTGACCGCGGCTGTTGAATCTCGGATCGATTTTTTGTTCAGTCGAGCAGAGCCGAACTCATTGCTGCAACGGCAGTGGCTCAATCACTGCGGCAAACGTGGGCCTGCCGCGAGTGTAGAATTGCCGCCAAACCGATGTCACGGCAGGCCCATTCATGATTGCACCGAGTTTGCTCGCCATCGATCCGCCTTCACTGGCCCAGCGGTCGATCGTCCCGAGAGGGCCGCTTCAAAATGAACCTCATCGATCCCATCCGACCTCAGGCGTGAGGCCTCACAGCCCCTGCGATTCGACCCAGACGGTCATTTGCGTCTTGGCCAAAGGACCTGACCAAGTGATCTTCACGACGTCTGGACTCTCTTGTCGTTTTTTGAATAATTAAATTAGATCCAGAAAAGCCAACTAATAGTGCAACGCTTCTGAGTCATCCTCGGAATTCGGCCAACAAATGATCGCCTGTATTCTCCTCCTCGTCGTGACATCGCCTCGAGCCGCAAAAGGTACGCCCACAGCCTTTAAGGCCTCCTTTCAGTCTCTCCGAGAAACCACTTAAAAACCCGACGGTCTTAGATCTACCGTATCTGTGACATTTCTGCTGAATTTTCCGTCTTTTCGCACATTGTTATTATTGCTGTATAACCTGGCTTCGATTATTGTCTCTCTCCACTCTGCTTTCGTGTTGGCTTCGGCTTTGAAGACGAGATGGTCGACTAGAATGTTGGGTTAAATCACGCGCATGTACTTTCCATTAAAAAACAGGTTTCTGATTCACGATTACTCTGCTCTCCAACGCCATACTCCTTTATTTTCAGATTCAGCGTTTCAAACCTAGAGGATTAAACGAATGGCCAGGATAAACGCCAGATCCTGCGTTTTTCTCGGCCTGGCTCTCCTCCGCGTACAAGGTGAGTTGAGCAAGCCTGAGAATTCATTCTACCTGATAGTTTGTTTGTCGTTTCGAGCAAGTTTGGCAAATGCTGGTAAAATCAAAAGTATGATGTTTTTATTTTTTTATATAATAGCTATATTCTAAGTTGTGACTGACTCCTTTCAGTAAGGCTTATGGATCGGCCGTGCCCAGGTGCCTTTAGAGTTTGCCTCTAGAGGACGAGATTCATAGGGCTCTGAAATGCTCAAAGAACAAACTTACTCCAAAAAGGCGGTAAATATAGTTTACATTCGAAAGTATGAAGACCAAGATCGTGTGGCCTTTTGTGTAGTCGCAGTCTCCTTTCGTTTTATAGAAGTTGTTTGACCTTGTTTTCGCAACTCGGTCATATTCGTGTAAGAGTAGGGTTTCGAGACTACCAATAAATCAGTGTAATGAGATGTATTCACCCTATTTCGTCTAAGGTGATGAAGGACTGGTAGCAGAATTTTCCCACAATGATATGAGTTGAGCTGACGTTTCCACTGAATTTCAC